AGCTTATTGTTTCATCTACTTTTAAAGATTTGGGGCACCTCTATACGTCACTCCTGATAGGGAAGAGAATACCAGAAGCTTTCTGTTTTTCTCAGAGAGAGATTTGAATATTTTGACAAATGAACCGGCTAGGTGCATCATAAAATAATGTTCAGAAATGGAGGAGATGAGGCTAATGAAGGAGAAAATCCGGAATATCTTAACAAAATGGTTCTCTAAGAGTCAAACTACCATGCCAGAGCATATGTGTGTCCCATTGAAGCTGCTATAGATGAAATTTAGTAACAATACCAGAATGGATCGTGAGGTCTGTAATAGAGGCCTGTCCAACTTGGATCTTTAGCAGAAATGGAGAGAAAGGTGCAGGATGATGTTCATAAGAGTCTCAATTTAATCGCAATTCCTCCTGTACATAATTATTTGAACGATGTGATAAAAGGCAACAAGAAAGAGTCTGAAGACGAGTCTGCTGATTTGAAGCACTTCATGGAAAGTGAGATTCCCAACATCTGTGATATCTCCTCCATTACAAAAGACGATATCAATGAAACAATCGTGATTTATATGATGAGAGGAACGAATTCAAACGCTGACGTTAAACCATCACCACCTAAAGAGCTTTTTGACATGGAGCGACCTTTGAAGATTTTGATGGAATTTCTCCTGGGTGCAGAGAAAGATTCCACCAAAAGCACTGAGAAAGCTGTAATGGGTGAGGAAGAGCTTATCAGAATGAACGGACCCATTGTTACTGCCTTCTCCTCAAATAAGAAGTATTACTCTGAAAAAAATACGTGTGACAAAAGTAGTCTGCCTGAGGAGCAGGGTGAGGGTATACTATTTTCAGAAGATCCTATTGAAATTAATGAATGCATGAGGAGACTGGACGAGATCGATCTTCTAAGGAACGCCGTGGAAGTAGACCTCCTTGTTCAAAAAGAGAAGACCGAGAGTGAAGAAAAATACGGAGAGACGAAGACATTGGGAAAGAATCCACAGATGGGGGAGAGTTCACGAAAATAGATAAACGAGTTATTTGTGCAGTCTCACCAAAAATTCAAGAGAAAGACAGCAGCATGAGAAAAGATAGTAAGACCAATGGCGCCAACGATGAATCTGAGAAAAATTGTTCATTTGCTGAGTCCCCAGTAACGAAAAATAGAGACAAGAGCAGCAGCTCAACGATATTAACAAAAAGGAAAGGGACCTTTTTTCTCGCTTCATTGAAGTCGTTTTCCTTCGCGACAGAGATGACAGCAATAACGAAAATATAAATTGTGACCAAACCACCTCTTGTTGTGAAGATTCTGAGAAAAAACCTAGACTCAGTCAAGACTCCATGATAAAGGATGATGGTCTCAGCTATCATGTCCCACACGTTGGCGAAGAGAAAAACAATAGAAAATGGAAGCAAAAACCGTTACGTGTGCCTGACAAACAGCTTAAAAGAGATTCTTCTCGAGAAGAGTCCTTGGATTTGAGGGAAACCCTGAAAACGAATGTGCCAATTCTGGTTCCCGGTGTATTTTGTGCGGAGTCAAGAACTCATGAAGGAGAAAGCAATGATCAAAAGGAGGATAGAATGACTTGGGAATATGAAACTGAAAATTCTGAGGAGAATGATGCAGCTGGCGAAGAATCTCTGAAAATTCACGAACTGTTCGCCTCGGGGATCTCTACTGCCGATGAGAAGGTAACTAAGAACCCTCATGAAAGGAGGCACGAAGCTATGGAACTTCCTGATGAGAGACCTCATGAAAGACTGAGAGTGAAGATCTTGTTTGAGAACATGCTGCAAATGCAACCACGCGTGAGTCCGATGATAGAAAACTGCAGAAACAGAAGGGACATATAAAGGGAAGATAGAGATGCTACAGAAGAGGTCATGAAACTGCACTTACCCATTTTTCGCGAATTCCAGAAGCGAGGGAAAAAATGTGACCATATTTTCGTTTATGGAGTGCATGAACTATACGAGAATAACAGATCTCTGGTTTCAACACCGCGAATTTCATTTTGGTCATGTCGATGGCCATATATGGCTCTTTAGCCGAGAATCTGAACTCCCGGGAAAGTTATATGAAGAATTGAGCATTTCATACCCAATTAAAGGTCAGTTTCAAATGTGTCCTGTGTTAAAGCAGATGAATAGAGAAGATAGTAATTTAATCATTCTCAGGATGATTTAAGTTTTAAAATACCCTGCTCTTCACGAATATCAACCACTTTTAATTAAGAATCATTATTGGAGAAATTATTGAAATCATGGTTCATATGGATTCAAGTATTAATTGACCAAGGTGCATTTAGATATTTACATATTCACAATGTCACTGAAAAACCTGCAGAACTTTGATTAACCTCAAATTATCTCTCATGAATGATCGTGTGAACTTCGCCATCGAAGACTTCAAAGTGGGTCCGTAATATCGTAATTTGAGAATGATGCAAACCCTCTGTCGTAAGAAACATTGAGGAAGTGAAAATGACCCATTCGATATTACTATAGTAAAATTTGTCAGCATTTGTTGCACTACAAACTCGAGCTGCGACCTCTTTCTCAAGGATTCTTCATTCGTCAAAATAAGCCATCACGTTTTTTGGAAAGGCCTCATTGTTTCGAACGATAATTCATCACTTTACGTACATTCCCGTGCATTGTCCTCTTGGAAACACGAAGTACCAATGAAGACTTTCACGATCAAAGGATGTGTGATTGGACATGACTGTCCAATCACACCAATCTTATTGTATGGTATGGATCAGACGGTCTATTAGCAGAGTACTTAGCGAGAATGAGGACATGATATTGTCGATTTCCCTCAGGTATATTGCTCCAGTGTACGCGACCCCCGGCCCACACGGCCCGATTGACGATGCAGAAGATCAATTTTCTCACCGCGGATAAGCTGGATCTCTTGATGAATGGGCCCAAGGAATTCGCCGTGAAAGGTGCGGCTGGAACGGGAAAAACATGGCTTCTTCAAGAAAAGATGCGGAACATTGTGATGTCCTGGTTCTCCAATGGACCCATCCAAGTGAAGGACGAGAAGATCCTTCTCGTCTGTAGCCAGAAACGCCTGTACAAATATTTATGCAGGACCATTCTCGATCTCCTCCTCACGTCTGCCATGGCGATGCTCAGCAAATGGAGAAACAAAACCAAAGAAGAGGAAGAGGAGCGAAGGGTCAAGCAGATTCTACTAAGAATAGTCACCATATGCTGCTTGCACCATCTGAATGTTGATTCACGGATTGGTGAGTGTTCGACGATGAAGAGGAAGGATGAATCGACAACCCTAGGGGACAAAGTTAAAAAGAGTGAAGAATTCCAAGTGGCGAATCTATCTGTAAGGATACGGTGCGCTATCTGGGAATTATTCATGTTCTATCGATTTTTCGAAAGTTCCGTCGCATATCTCAGGCTTGAAGAGATTGCTCAAAGCCCGGATTATCCAACATATCTTCCACTCATTTACTCCCGAGACTGAGGCTTTAAACTTCTTCCACAAGAACATAAATTTCATGGCATTTAAGGAGGTAAGGTATCCGAAACAATTGCTTAACAAAGGCTCTGTTGGAATATCAATATCAGGAATGAGTCGAAGGTTATCTGAATGCCGTTCCCTGGTGACGGAACTCCCCAAAACGATGCAGCATGACGTACTTATGGAAGCGGAGAAGATCCTCAAAACCCGGGAACCCCCTTTCAGCCACGTCTTCGTCGACGAGCTAAAGACTTGTGCAAATTATTTGATAAACACTGGTGGACTGCACTCCGTTCTCTCCGCAAAGAAGGAAAATGTTTCTGGTGGGCCTATGACCCCCTTTCCTTTTTCAGTTAAAAATGAATTGGAAGATGCGCATTCCTTACCCACAGTCTTGAGAAACCAGCTGTATTGCAAACCTGGACCAGAAACCTCATCCCGAAAGGGACTTCGACTTATATGAACCTCGCGATCCAGCGTATAAAAAGGAAGAAATCCGATCGGGACATTCTCTACAGGGTCCCAGGGTGGAAAGGTTTCATGTTTCCAGTTCCAATTTCACCAACAAAATAACCACAGCATCAAGTAGCGATTCGAAGAGGCGATCGAAGTGATGGACTCTCTCAGAATTGGTTCCAATCAGATTTTTCTAGCTTGGGAGCTCGATGGAAGGACGAATGTGAGCTAAATTGAGAATTGACCGAACATGAGTGCACACGATAGAACGACATCTCAGGACCTGGTGCTCCGAATTCCAGCCAAACCTGACGTCATCTCGAGCCCAACTGAAGAAAGGGAATAGTCGTGGGGGATGGAACCCTTTCAGCGATTCAGCTTCGCTATGGGCGAAGTAGAAATGTCCTCTTCGTGGCATGTCACTATGCATCTGGTGATCGGAATCTGTTTAATAAGCCTGCCATTACTTCAAGCTTCAAGAAAAGGGTTGCTATTTCGGGTATTGATAGAACCCATAGACAATAAGACTCGCAGTATCACCTGCGCAGAAGAATCGGGAGGCATGTGTACGTTGGGCATGTTTTGAATTCAACACATGGATGCAATGATGCCCATGGACCTTGTAATCTCAGCAGTCACCCTAAACTTCCCCCGCAATTTTCAACGGGATCGACGTGCAGAGATCCTCATGCCAACGGAGAAACTCCACGTCTCGCGACGCATCACCCATCCGAGCGAGAAGACGATCACCGAGGGAAGCATGCGGATTGAGTGTTGATGAATCTCCTAGGGAAGCAGGCGGATTGAGCGCTGATGAATGTCCTAGGGGAGCAGGCGGATTGAGCGCTGATGAATCTCCTAGGGAAGCAGGCGGATTGAGCGCTGATGAATCCTCTCTGTTGGGACGTTCGATTGGTGATCGTCGGTGAGGCATCGCACCTCTAACAGGTTGTCAGTTGTCTCAGGGCTGTGTAATCCATCGAGAAACTACACAGTCCTACGTTACGCTGTTTATACCTCCATTTAATCAATATGACTATGCCGGAGAGTTTTTCAGTCTGACTTAAAATGAACTAGAATGGATATGGATAAATATTATTCGGGTCACTTAAACTGCAACATGGAAATGACACTAGATTCACTTTTCAGCCGTGAGCTTTGGGAATCTCCTGGAGTCTATCCGGTGTTCTTGCGCCACTTCCACGTTACGAAGAGCACATTCGCCATGAAGACGAAGGCGAGCAATATGCAGAAGACTCCCGAGGTGAGGATCAAACGCGCTTCCTTGGACTGATGAGAATCGCTCACGTTGTGGATGAGGATGGACCCCGTGGCCATGTAGAACACGGTACACATTCCTCCGTGTACCATCTCCTTCAGGGCGAAAAGGAGAAAAAATAGTCAAAAGCTGCAAATATACATAATTCAGTTTTTTGAAGGCAAAACTAGCCAAAACAGACCCTTGTACGCGGAGTCCTAATAATCCACTGACAAATCAACTAAATAAACCAGAACCATGAAGTCAGACTAACAATTGATGTAAGTGCCTAACTCTTTTAGTTCCAAAGGAATAAGATTTACTGTATAGTCGATCGAGTCTATGAATCGGCCACGTGGCACTAAAAGGGCTAAAGCCTATATTACGTTCTTTGTAGGAACCCACAGATTGGCGTAAGAGCTCCATCATCGTTAACAAAAATTCCCTGAATATTTCGTTTAAGGCATAGGAAATGGGACTGCTGTCTAGTGCGCAGAAAAAGGAATTCCCCTTCATAATGGAAACCATTTCTCGTTTTTTTGCTCACGTGGAATTGTTGTTCCGAGAAAACCTAGGAATCGGTTGTTCAGTTAGAGTAGGTCATTTTTCTTTTCTTCCCCATTAGATTTTCCATCATATTCTGAGGTCCTTTATTTGTGTCCGACACTCGAAGACGTCTGCTTACGTCTGCTTACTACTACTGCTTACTACTAAATGCTGCAGTTAAAAAAATGTTGTATCTTATTTATGACTTGCCCTCAATAATCCGTGATATTTTGGTGCGGTTCCCTCATGGAAAGGTTGAAAGTTCCATTAGTTATCACTGTCGTACAATACATTCTTAAACTACACAATTTTTTGCAAATGTGAAACTTTGCTACAACGCGCCAAATAGCTTAACTACGGCATGTATTTTAACAAGACCTTGCATTCATTCCAAATCCACCAAATGCGACATTTCGTCCCCCATTTTGAAATCCTTGGCGGCAGCTGATCTCACCATGCATTTCCGAACTGAACTAGACAGTATATCTGGCAAGGGGGGAGGGGATTGCCCCTTTTTATATTCGGCAAAGGATATCTAATATATATAGACGATCGTGACTGACTGACGCTAATTCTAACCATGTTCTAGACATGATGAGAGGCTGAAACTTGGTACACACATTGCTGTTAGATAGCTGACTCCAGGAAAACTCCAACTTTGGGGGTAAGTGCCCTGGGGGTTCATTCCAGGGGGTCTCATTTTGTAAGCCTAGGTCTAACCCTCAGACGGACGCTTAGGCCTAAGCCATTCTCAGGCTCCCCTTGCCTTCAACAAAACGGAAGGAACGTGAGTAGCTGATGGGTTGTCGCTTCCAGAGAAAGTCTAACTTCGAATGCCCAACTTTGGGGGTCCATGCCCTGGGGGCACGTTTTAGGGGAGGGGTTGGGGGACTGATTTCGCAGGCCTAGGCTCAACCCATGGATGGATGCTTAGGCTAATACCACTCTCATACATTTTCTTCCTTCATGGAAGCAGGAGATAAAATAAATAGCTGTATCATTCATACCTTCGATGAAGTTTGACATAGAAGGTACATGCCGTGAGGTGATTGACTTAGCAGGCCAATAAGAAACCCTTGGACAGACGCAGAGGCCTACTCGAATCTTGCCCGATCCATTCGCATAGAGGAACTTCTCGGCCCTTCTTACCGAGCATCCTTTTGTCTTAACCTGACGCGCTAGGCGTTCGAGCTATGCCGTTGGGTCATTGGTGAAGAGAAGGGCACGAGTTGACGCGTGGTACGCTTGCAGATGTGAATGGGTTCTATTTATTTTTCTGCCAGGGAAACAGTATTAGATGTTCCATTGACATTCAGGATGACATTTTGATGTAAGGTGGCTATGTCTAATCCACTTAAGGACGATTAGGCCAATGTTCACACTTCAACAAAACGGGAAGGTATTCGGGCTGCATACATGGTTAATACGGTTTTTCATAGACAACTGTATAGAACCATTAGAAGAGTTTGAAAAAGATACTGCCATAGAGTCCTTTCGCCAGAATATTAAATTAACGACAAAGTTCCCTACAGTCGAATTGGAATTATCGCTTTGAAACTCGGAAGTAATGAGCTTATGTATCTGCTTCCTAGCCCCTCCCCCCCAGATGGAGATGTAGGCTTACGCCATTCTCATAAACACGTTCCTTCCTCCTCAGTCATTGAAGAAAGTGTGTGTTATTCCTACGTTGTTCACTTTAGAGGAATTCAGACTTCGGAGGGAGTGAGGGCGGGGGGGGGGGGGGGGGGGGGCACCCCCTGGGGNGTGTACCAATTTTAAGGTATTTTATTTTAATCTGTGCTAAGTTTCACCTTTACATTTCTGTCCAATTCGCCGAGACGACATTTTTTTTAAACATCGCCCCTCGAAAAAATTCCCCTAGGGGATGTATCGAGACTTAACATTTTCCTTTAACTCCATGTCTCAGTAGTAACATTCCTGCAAAGTTCCAGCTTTCCGTGTTCAACAGTTTAACTGATGCAAAAAAAGTATTGGAAAACATCTCCGTTTGAAATTTGTGCCCCAGGGCATTTACTTCTAAAGTCTGAATTTTTCTGCACACAGCATCCCAAAACATAACCTACTTCAGAGTTTTACCGCTAAGATGGCTAATATTAAAGATCAATGTAGGCCTGAGCAATCCTCCAAGGGTTGGATATGAAGCTTGCTGAGTCATTCCCATTAGGGCAAGTACTGCCAATGTCGAACTGTATTTGTAGTATGCAAGCCAACAGCTATTTATTTTCCATCCCGTTTCCTTTTAGGAGGAGTGTGGATAAGAGTAATATTGGCCTAATGGTCCATCCATGGGGTAGGCCTAGGCCTGCGAAATTTGTCCCCAGGGCGTGTACACCCCCCGCCCTCACTCCCTCCGAAGTCTGAATTACTCTAGAGTGAACAACGTAGCAATAACACACACTTCCTTCAATGACTGAGGAGGAAGGAACGTGTTCATGAGAATGGCGTAAGCCTACATCTCCATCTATGGGGGAGGGGCAAGGGAGCAGACACATAAGCTCATTACTTCCGAGTTTCAAAGCGATAATTCCAATTCGACTGTAGAGAACTTTGTCGTTAATTTTATATTCTGGCAAAAGGACTCTATGGCAGTACCTTTTTCAAACTCTTCTAATGGTTCTAAACAGTTGTCTATGAAAAAACCGTATAAACCATATATGGAGCCCGTATACCTTCCCGTTTTGTTGAAGTGTGAATAGACTTAGCATGCTTATTTAACTCCTTGTCCAAGTTGTCATATTCATGCAAAGTTTCAGCTTTCCATGTCACTCCGTTTTACAGAAGCAAAAATAATATGATGGCGGGTGAATGAGTGACGGGATATGGAAGGCAAAAAAAGCCAAAAGAAAGCCTAGGAATAGCCGGAAATTGAAGCCGGACCTTTAGATTACCAGTCCGATATGCTATTACTACACCACCGAACACTGCACAGCCTATTAATACTTTGAATGCCATCCTCATCTGTCACAAAATATATTTCAGGAAAACCTTTCCTCCCGAAACGTGTACCCCCAGGGCATGTACCTCCAAAGTCGGATTTTTTCTGAACTCTACATCCTAAAAGGTACATGTGTACCAAGTTTCAGATTTCTAACCCTTCTAGAACATGGTTAGAATTTGCGTCAGTCAGTCAGTCAGTCACGATCGTCTATATATATTAGATATAGACGTGACTGACTGACGCTAATTCTAACTATGTTCCAGAAAGGTTAGAAATCTGAAACTTGGTAGACATGTGCCTTTTGGGGTGCAGAGTTCAGAAAAATTTCTACTTTGGTGATGCAAGTCATAGGGGCACACCTTTTCGTGGAGCATATCAATACTTTCAAATAGTTTTCCTTGCTTCAATGAAACGGAGACCCACAGAAAGCTGTAGCATGGCAAGAACGTCACTGGTGAAGCACTCAGCTCAAATATCAATTGTCAAATTTCCGAAGTATTTAGGGGGGGCATCTTTCTTGGGGACGCAAAGTTTCCAAAGAAGTATTCATATCCTACCGAATCGGGCAGAAATAGAAAGTACCTGACGCACGCATAACGGTCGTCATGTTCATTTAAGGAAAAAGTCAACTATTGTTGTGTGTCTCCTCAGAGCGCAGCTTTTCGGTGGATCGCTTTTCCAAAAACATTTTTTCTGCCAACAAAAAGGGGAATCGTATAAGGATGAAATGTGGTGGCATGGAGTTCCATGAGTCTACATTTCAGAAGAAAAAAAAATTTAGTTAAAACCCGTCAGGGCATTTATTCAGTCCCATTTTCCTGAATTTGTTTTTCATCCAACGAAACAGAAACTGAAAATGTAAAGACGCCTCAGAAGTGCCTGTTTGATGGCATTCAAAGTATTAATAGGCTGTGCAGTGTTCGGTGGTGTAGTAATAGCATATCGGACTGGTAATCTAAAGGTCCGGCTTCAATTTCCGGCTATTCCTAGGCTTTCTTTTGGCTTTTTTTGCCTTCCATATCCCGTCACTCATTCACCCGCCATCATATTATTTTTGCTTCTGTAAAACGGAGTGACATGGAAAGCTGAAACTTTGCATGAATATGACAACTTGGACAAGGAGTTAAATAAGCATGCTAAGTCTATTCACACTTCAACAAAACGGGAAGGTATACGGGCTCCATATATGGTTTATACGGTTTTTTCATAGACAACTGTTTAGAACCATTAGAAGAGTTTGAAAAAGGTACTGCCATAGAGTCCTTTTGCCAGAATATAAAATTAACGACAAAGTTCTCTACAGTCGAATTGGAATTATCACTTTGAAACTCGGAAGTAATGAGCTTATGTGTCTGCTCCCTTGCCCCTCCCCCATAGATGGAGATGTAGGCTTACGCCATTCTCATGAACACGTTCCTTCCTCCTCAGTCATTGAAGGAAGTGTGTGTTATTGCTACGTTGTTCACTCTAGAGGAATTCAGACTTCGGAGGGAGGAGGGGGGGGGTGTACACGCCCTGGGGACAAATTTCGCAGGCCTAGGCCTACCCCATGGATGGACCCTTAGGCCAATACTACCCTTATCCACACTCCTTCTAAAAGGAAACGGAATGGAAAATAAATACCTGTTGGCTTGCATACTACAAATACAGTTCGACATTGGCGGTACTTGCTCTATTGGGAATGACTCTGCAAGCTTATATCCAACCCTTGGACGATTGCTCAGGCCCACATTGATCTTTAATATTAGCCATCTTAGCGGTAAAACTCTGAAGTGGGTTATGTTTTGGGATGCTGTGTGCAGAAATATTCAGACTTTAGAAGTAAATGCCCTGGGGCACAAATTTCAAACGGAGATGTTTTCCAATAATTTTTTTGCATAAGTTAAACTGATGAACACGGAAAGCTGAAACTTTGCAGGAATGTTACTACTGAGACATGGATTTAAAGGAAAATGTTAAGTCTCGATACATCCACTGGGGGAATTTTTTCAAGCGGCGATGTTTAAAAAATATTTTGTCGCGGCGAATTGGACAGAAATGGAAAGGTGAAACTTAGCACACGCATAACTGACATGATATTACTAAGCTGAGGGAGTACTCAGCTTTCATGGGGGATCCCCTCCGGGCATAGCATTTGGGTGGGTCGGCTTTTTCAAGCATGTTTTTTCACCAGCGAAAAGGGCAAACGTATAATATTGAAACTTTATTGGCATGCAGTTCACCGGGCAGACATAGAAAAGTAGCTGGCGCACGCATCACTGAAGTGATGTTGATTTAAGGAAAAATTCAACTTTTCTTATACGTCTCCTCAGAGCACAGCTTTTGGGTGGGTCGCTTTTCCAAATACATTTTTTTTCCGCCAGCAAAAAGTGGAAACGTATAAGGCTGAACCTGGGTGGCATGGAGTTCCCTGAGTCTACATTTTAAAAGAAAAAATTTTCTTTAAAGCCCATTAGACCAATTTTTTTAGTCCCATTTTTCTCTTTTTTTATCCAGAGGCAGAAAATTTAAACTACATTCAGAAGTTCCTATTTGATGGCTGAGTAGAGGAAAAATCCTAATTTTTAAATATGTCTCCTTAGCGTCGATTATTGGAGGGAAGTATTTCAAAATGTATTCTCCACCCATAGAAAAAGGGACACAAGGAAAGATTTCAGGTTAGGCACACATATAATCATAGAGGTAATGATTTTGATGAAAATCAAGACTTTCGACTCCATATATCACGTATTTCAATGGGGACGTACTTCAAATACGTGTTTGCCATTTCGAAAAGAATAAATGAATTAATCCCTATCCAAGGTAATAGAGCTAGTATATATTAATATATGTATATATCATTTTTTATTTAAGGATATAAATAAAAAATGAAAAGTNACTGATGAGACCATTGCTTCATCTGCAACTTTAAGCTACATGTCCATACAAGTCACACGCCCATAGGCTTGTAAAAGATACTACCCGGGAGACATTCTATGTGAGTCCAAAGTTTGTAACAGAACTTCTTACGCACCCTGTACGACGACGTATCTGTAAGATAACCTACTTATCTCCCATACAGAAATTCCATTGGGAAATTGTCATAAGGGTCCTTGGAGATCCCATATTCCGAGTTCTCTTCGGGTGACTAGAGTGGCGGTAAATTTCCTTCATATTTAAACTATTGGGCATGGACAATAAAAACCTAATTGTAAGAGTCTGAAGGCAATGGCAATAATAAACGAGATCACTTTCTCTGGGAACTTGATGCGAAAATGATCCCTTGCAAAACTTCAATCCCCTATCCACCTGGTTGTTTGACCAGGTGGATTTGGGGTGGATTTGGAACCAGATGGACGTCCTCCACGGTGGAAATCCACCTATCCACTCACGCACAAGTATTTCAAGCCAGGTGGATTTTCCCCCAGGTGGACATCGCTCCGACAGGCGGAAATAGCGCCTAGGGGGACATCCACCTGGATCCAAATTCAGTGGACGTTTTGTAATGGTCGTGACCCAAATAAACACGTTCATATTCCGAAGTTGATGAGAAAGCCAGACAAATTCTGCGGTATTGGAGTTGTGAATATAAAACCAGAAAGTAGAAGATATTTCAAATCCAAATTTTGAGGAGTTTTCTGTTCCCCGCAGATGACTTCATTGATATATTACAAAATAATTACGGACTCCCAAGCGAATAGCCTCGTGATCCATTTGGTAGTCCGTGATCTCAGATGTCTGGTACTTTTGATCCGAATTGCGCGATATCCGTCTGTGGTGAGGGGGACATCTCTCGGCTGCCTCGCCAGAGCCGTCTTTCCTATCGTACTGCTTGAAATCCCTTTGACGTCCTGATAAGGACGTCAAAGGGATTTCATGTCCTTGCGTCCTGACATCCCAAGATGCATGGAACTGCGGAAGCGAATCCCCTCGCTTCCCGAGAGAGGCGAGGGGGCGACTCACCATGGGGCCGGGTTCGTGACCGAGGACGAGGGCGAAGGGGAACACGACGGTGGAGAGAAACAGCCCCAAAAGACTCCCAAGGACCACGTAACTTTCGTCCAAGTTCGGATTCATCCAAAGGATAGTCGAGTTGGAAACTTCCCAGAGCGGCAGCTTCGCTCCCCGGTACAGGACCAGCGCCAGGAAGCCGAATAACTGGACGCAGTCAACGAAGGCACCGAGATTCGTTCTTCCCTCGCTTCTCCAGGAATGCGACGAACGGACAGAACACAAAAAGAAACTCACGATTTCCGCGTATTTGAAGAGAGCTGAAGGTTTCCTCAAAGCTGTAAACTCCATCTCCTTGCCCTTCTATCCCCCTGGAATCTCCTCTCGCAGGAGAGCAACGCACGAAACCGTCAGTATTAGCTCCGTCCTGGCCCCGGCGCACCTTATCTCTTCCTTCCCACCTTTCGCATACGCGCATCGTTCCCCTTTGTTAATGTTATCGCTAATCTTCATTTATCCTATCGGACTTTGTCCTGGCTGAAATGCCATACGGTATCAGTGGTAAAGCGTAAGGTATCCGAAACAATTGCTTAATAAAGGCTCTGTTGGAATGTCAATATTAGGAATGAGTCGAAGGTTATCTGAATGCCGTGCCCTGGTGACGGAACTCCCCAAAAGGATGCACCACGACGTACTTATGGAAGCGGAGAAGATCCTCAAAACCCAGGAACCACCTTTCAGCCACGTCTTTGTGGACGAAGCTGAAGATTTGTGCTAATTATTTGATAAACACTGATGGACTGCACTCCGTTCTCTCCGCAAAGAAGGAAGATATTCCTGGTGGGCCTATGACCCCCTTTCCTTCACGAGTATTCCAGATGGATTAAAAAATGAATTGGAAGGTGCGCATTCCTCACCCACAGTATTGAGAAACCCGCTATCTGTATTGCAAACCTGGACCAGAAACCTCATCCCCGAAAGGGATTTCGACTTATATGAACCTCGCGATCCAGCGTATAAAATAGAAGAAATCCGAACGGGACACTCTCTACAGGGTCCCAGGGTGTAAAGGTTTCATGTTTCCAGTTCCAATTTGGCTAAAAAGGTTTTGGGAATACTTAGAGACAGGTTCGGAAGTGGGATACAACCTGGTGACATTGCGGTTTTTTTTGCCGAGCAAGGGGATTCCTTCATCCACGAAGAGCGGTTGAAGAAGGAGATGGAAGAGGAGATCGACGTTTCTTTGATAACCCCTCGCCTTGTTGATTATGTACAAGGTATTAAGGAGATGGAGGCCCCCATTGTGTTCTTGATCACCAATGAAAGAGCGAAGAGAAGGGAAAGACTCTACATGGGAGCATCTCGAAGCACTTCCCACCTCATTATACTCGAGATGGAGGCCAGTCAGCACGAGGAGGAAGCTGCCCAGAGGAGACATCAAGAGTTCGCCCTGAAATTCTTTCCAGATGATATCAATGAGGATTACAAGGAAACTGTAGAAAATGCTTACCACAACATGTTTTTCACCTCGAATGCAAAATGTTGAACGTCATGGAACTGAGGTGGAAAATAAAGAATGGTTTTGAGGTCGTAATTTGGCTTGCCCTGTGAAAGAAACTAAACGACATTATAGACCAATATATTCCCTCTCTGTGAAGTCCAGTCGCAAAGAGAGGTCCGATTTTCCGTCCATCAATCTTCAGTCAACCATAAGGGAATCACTGTTTGTCATCTTCATTTAATCCCAAGACCATCCACCTTCTCTGCTAGGCGCCTTTTGATTGTTGAAGAAATTTCAACGAGAAATGATGATATCTGGATTTTAATATCCAATGAAAATGTGGAACTGTGACCATTATATTACCAAGAAGTCGTTCACCCCAGGGTCTTTGTCCCCTCCCTCTGGCCGGAATCGTATGCCAAAAATATCTGAATTTGCCCCAGGGGTAATTGACCAGGGATGCAGGGACTACAATATCTTGACCTTTAGTAGGTGTCTCATGCAGCATTCTTTCTTCTTCCTCTTTCTCCCACTCCCCAGATCCCATTCGTTTTAAGATGAGATACTTTTTCCAAAAGAAGATGGATTGCGGAGCAAGACATGGACACTTCCCCGTGTAGACAATGAAGCAATTCCCGGTGGAGATATATTGTTCATTCGCACTGTTTAGCCAGTCCTGTAGACTGTTTAGACGTTAAGCTTTCTGTATGGGTTCGTTTCTTCCCTCACGCTTGCCGTATGCAGTGCAGGGGCTTTGTTAGATTCGTGAACGATTCTGCTTTCGTACCTGTGCCCGAGCGTTCTGTATAGTTCTATATATACTGCACATGATACGTTTTGGTGTATATAAGAACTTGAAACAACAAAAACCAGTAGTTGATGCATGTTTTTCATTTTGAACCTGCCATGAATGGACAACCCAGCTGCTTGTTGTCTCCAACATTCACTTCAATTTTAGAAACAAGTCCGTGGGTGCCGTCCTGTGGTATTCGGGTCGAGGTATTGTGAGATATCCGAGATATGGTCATCGATAGGTTAATCGTCGCCCATTCATACCTAGACGTTGGGGACCCCGAAGTCAGACTCACCATTCACCCGAAAGCCGTGGATTGCATGGTTCTTTGGAGTAAAAAAGGTAGGCCTTTGCCGAATGAGTCTCAACGACTCCTTCGAATTAACATCACTCTGATTTGGAGTGTATCTTGATGCAGGTGAAAAACCAAAAGAAAAAACTCTGTAAAGGGTTGGGGGTAAAGAGAGGGAAACCATTTGAATGCGGTTTACGCAATACTGCAAGGTGGTCCATAATTACCTGTTTATTTCTCGAGGCTGTTTCTTGGTATCTACTGAACAAATTAAACAAATGATATTTTGTTGGAAAACTTCAGAAATGTTTAAACTTCGCCTCTTTTCACGGAAAAATATCTCATCTGGTCGAAGTTCAAATACGTACGTTTTCCTCAGGTTAACGCTTGGCCAATTCTCAATATGGCTCACGCGTGTCCTACGATTGAGCTCCCAAGCCACCGAGATCTGTTCGGTACCTAAATCGTCAGACTCCATCGTTCTGAACGCTTCTTTGATTCTATATGTCATGTTGTTTAGCTTCGATGGTGTTTCTCCTACTCTTCTACACCAGCTGCAACGAACTTTTGCATAACATCATCGGTCCAGCCATCTATCAAGTGAAAGGGTCATTTTCGGCATTTTTGCAGGGGTATGCGAGACGTAAAAAGGAACCGAAGCACTTCACGAGATTTTCAGCCGTGGCATATCGCTTGGATATGCCATGCAATTCTGCAAAGGTAAAAAAAAAACAAAAAAAAACAGATATGAGTGCGTATCGTATTGTTGTCCCAACATTTTCAAGACCTAGAATGTTCCAATATTACAAAAGTAATTTTCAAGACGGAGATGAAGCTCTATGATCCGTACGAACAATAAATCAGTGACAGGGATGCAAATCCAGTTTCGTCACCAGGCCATACATTTGCCAGAAGGCCTTTAATGAGAATCTTCCAATCATGAAAGAGCGACGTAGTGTTGCTCTCCACTACAACCACAGCATGAAGCAGCGATTCAAAGAGACGATCGTAGTGATGGACTCTGTCAGAATTGGTTCCAATCAGATTTTTCTCGCTTAAGAGCTGCTCGATGGAAGAACGAATTTGAGCTAAATTGAGAATTGACCGAACAAGAGTGCACACGATAGAACGACATCTCAGGGCCTGATGCTCCGAATTCGAGCCAAAACCTGACTTTATCTCGAGCCCAAGTGGGGTCACATCCCAGAAAAGGAATGGTCGTGGGGGATGGAACCCTTTCAGCGATTCAGCTTCGCTATGGGCGAAGTAGAAATGTCCTCTTCCGTGGCATGTCACTATGCATCTGTGGATCGGAATATGTTTAATGAGCCTGCCTTTACTTCAAGCTTCAAGGAAAGGGTTTGTTATTTCGGGTATTGATAGAACTCATAGGCAATATGACTCGCAGTATCACCTGCGCAGAAGAATCGGGAAGCATATTTACGTTGGGCATGTTTTGAATTCAACACATGGATGCAATGATCCCCATGGACCTTGTAATCTCAGCAGATCACGCTGAAATGGATTCTCCACCCTAAAATTCCCCCGCGATTTACAACGGGATCGACGTGCAGAGATCCTCATGCCAACGGAGAAACACCACGTCCCGCGACGCATCACCCATCCGAGCGAGAAGACGATCACCGAGGGAAGTAAGTGGATTGAGCGCTGATGTATCTCCTAGGGAAGCAGGCGGATTGAGCGCTGATGAATCTTCTCTACTGTGACGTTCGATTCGTGATCGTCGATGAGGCATCGCACCTCTAACAGGTTGTCAGTTGTCTCGGGAGCCGTGTAATCCATCGAGAAACTACACAGTCCAACGTTGCGCTGTTTATTCCGCCATTTAATCAATATGATTATGCAGGAGAGTTTTTCAGTTTGACTTAAAATGAACTAGAATGGATATGGATAAATATGGATAAATATTATTCGGTTCGCTTAAACTCCAAGACGGAAATGACACTGGATTCACTTTTCAGGCGTGAGATTTGGGAATCTCCTGGAGTCTATCCGGTGTTATTGCGCCACTTCCACGCTGCGAAGAGCGCATTCGCCATGAAGACGAAGGTGAGCAATATGCAGAAGACTGCCGAGGTGAGGATCAAAGGCGCTTCCTTGGATTCATGAGAGTCGCTCGCGCTGTCGAGGAGTAATAAGCCTGTGACCAGGTAGAACCCGCCGCTCGCTCCTCCGTGTACCATCTCCTTCAGGGCGAAAAGGAGAAAAAAAAAAGTCGAAAGCTGAAAATATACGTAATTGAGCCTTTTGTAGGCAAAACTAGCCGAAACAGACACTTGTAGCGGAGTCCTAATAATCCAATGACAAATCAACTAAATAAACTAGAACCATGAAGTCAGGCTAACAATTGATGTAAGTGCTTAACTCTTTTAGATCCAAAAGAATAAGATATACTGTATAGTCGATCGAGGCTATGAATCGGCCGCGTGGCACTAAAAGGGCTAAAGCATATATTACGTTCTTTGTAGGAACACACAGATGGGCGTAAGAGCTCCATCATCAACAAAAATTCCATGAATATTTCGTTTAAGACACAGGAAATGGAACTGCTGTCTAGTGCGCAGAAAAAGGAATTCTCCTTCATAATGGAAACCATTTCTCCTATTTTCTCGAGTGGTATTGCTGTTCCGAGAAAACCTGGGAATCGGTTGTTCCGTTGGAGTAGGTCATTTTTCCTGTCTTCCCATTAGATTTTCCATCTTATTCTGAGGTTCTTTATTTGTGTCCATCGCTCGAAGACGTCTGGTTATGTCTCGAAATGCTGCATGGGAAAAAAAATGTATCCTATTTATGACTTGCCCTCGATAATCCGTGACATTTTGGTGCGGTTCCCGCATGGAAAGGCTGAAAGTTCTATTAGTTTAGTTACCACTGTCATACTTAAGCTACGCAAATTTCTTGGAAATGTGAAACTTCGTTGCAAAGCGCCGAATGGCTTAACTGCGGCAGGTATTTTAACACGGCAATGCATTCATTCCAAATCCACCAAATGCGATTTATCGTCCCCCATTTTGAAATCCTTGGTGGCAGCTGACCTCCCCCATGCATTTCTGAACTGAACTAGACGGTAAATTTGGCGGGGGGGGGGGGGGGAGGGGGGGGATCGGAGGGCCTTCTCTTGTTTTTCAGAAGGCTGAGACGGCTGTGAGTCTTCAGGCTCTGTTGCGCCGTTTTATATTCGGCAAAGGAGATTTTTTTAATTTAAGGAAATAAAAAAGAAAAATGAGAAGTTTCCTTGTATTTCTGGATGTGTCCCTGTTAGAAAAGTTCCTGTCAGAAAATGTCCTTTCCAGTTTTGAAAGTCAAACTCTCCTACCCCTGAAAAATCATCTTTTGAGGCAGAATAACGGAAGATGTACTGATTTATGTTGAATAAAATGTCCGGATACGACGACGAATCTGTAAGATAACGTACTTATCTCACATACAAAAATTCCAATGGGAAATTTTCGTAAGGGTCCTTGGAGATCCCATATTCCGAGTTCTCTTCGAGTGACTAGAGTGGCGTTAAATTTCCTTCATATTTGAACTATTGGAAATGGAGAATGAAAACCCATTTGTAAGAGTCTGAAGGAAATGGCAATAATAATCGAGATCACTTTCTCTAGGAACTTGAAAGGCTGCGAAAATGATACCTTACAAAACGTCAATCCCCTATCCACCTGGTTGTTTGACCAGGTGGATTTCAGGTGGATTTGGAACCAGATGGACGTCCTCCACCGTGGAAATCCACCTATTCATTCACGCACATGGATTTTAAGCCAGGTGGATTTTCCCCCAGGTGGACGTCGCTCCGACAGGCGGAATTAGCGCCTAGGGGGACATCCACCTGGTTCCAAATTCGGTGGACGTTTTGTAATGGTCGTGACCCAAATAACATATTATTAATAATTAATATTCGCAAGTTGATGAGAAAGTCAGACAAATTCTGCGGTATTGGAGTTGTGAATATAAAACCTGAAAGTAGAAGATACTTCATATCCAAATTTTGAAGAGTTTTCTGTACCCCGCAGATGACTTCGTTGATAGATTACAAACACAATTACGAACTCCCAAGCGAATAGCCTCGTGATCCATTTGATAGTCCGTGATTTCTGATATCTGGTACTTCTGATCGGAAACGCGCGATATCCGTTTGTGGTGAGGGGGACTATCCCTCGGCTGCCTCGCCAGAGCCGTCTTTTCCATCGTGAAGTCCCTTTGACATCCCTGACATTCCTGACATCCCTTTGACGTCCCTGACATGCATGGAATGCGGAAGCGAATCCCCTCGTGTCCCGAGAGAGGCGACGGGGCGACTCACCATAAGGCCGGGTTCGTGACCGAGGGCGAGGGCGAAGAACACGACGGTGGAGAGAAACAGCCCCAACAGGCACCCGAGGACCACGTAACCTCCTTCGTCCAAGTTCGGGTTCATCCAAAGGATAGTCGAGTTGGAAACTTCCCAGAGCGGCAGCTTCGCTCCCCGGTACAGTACCAGCGCCAGGAAGCCGAATAACTGGACGCAGTGAACGAATGCATCGAGACTCGTTCATCCCTTGCTTCTCCAGGAATGTGACGGACGGACAGAGCACAAAGAAACTCACGATTTCCACGTATTTGAAGAGAGCTGAAGGTTTCCTCAAGGCTTTAAACTCCATCTCCGCGCCCTTCAATCCCCCCGGAATCTCCTCTCGCAGGCAGAGCAACGCACAAAACCGTCAGTATTAGCACCGTCCTTCCCGGTCAGTATTAGCTCCGTCCTTCCCCGTCAGTATTAGCTCCGTCCTTCCCCGGCGCACCTTATCTCTTTCTCCCCACCTTTCACATACGCGCATCGTTCTCCCTTGTTTATTTTAAGGCTGTCTTCATTTATCCTATCGAACTTTGTCCTGGCTGAAGTGCCATAAGGTATCAGTGGTAAAGCGTTCGCCTTTAGACTTGTGTGCTTTCGATGCGGAAGCGGGAGGGAGACAGGATAAAATGCGAAAATCCTGCGTTTTTGGTGATCAATTATCTTTATAAATGTATTTAATATAGATTAATTCTTTATTAGCCCTATTCGTTATCTCTTTTCTTTAAAGTATTCTCCATCCATTCATTTTAATGATACACAGAGCCCTGCTGCAAAAATATAGCCACCCCCGTTAACCCCTTGACTGGCGCGGAAGAACTGTTCTCGTCGTTCAGCGAGACCAATCCAACAATTTGTGTCTGAAAAAAATGCCAGTGAAGGGGTTAATGCATCTAGCCTAGCCTTTCGTATTTCACGAGGGCTTCGGTTGCCATTTGGACGTTTAACTTGTGAATAGGCAGATCATCGGTGTGCACCGTCGCCGCGCCGAAATCAAGCGAAGCCCGAGATATTTTTCCATTTACCCGAGCCGTCCGGATTGCGGCTAGAGTCAACGACAAATTGCCGAAAATCTCGGCGTTTCACCTGGATCTGTGGTCAATATTACCGCGAAGTTAACCGAGCAGAATGTCGCCGCTACGACAAAGCGAGATGCTTGGAAAGCGATGGTCAGAGGTTCCAGCAAATCTGGAGAGAAGACCTAACAAATACCTTCGACCGAGAAGTCTTCACCATACGGTTAAATATGGAAGCGGAAGTGTCATGGCACGCGCTGCAATCTGTCATGGACAGAGTTGGTGTTCAAAGAAGGACGTCTTAATTCTGCCACGGAAATTGAGACTTGAAAGACGCATCTCCTACCGTCGTACCAACAAGGAACACCGAGAGTCGATGCTCGTATTCTTCGTCTTCTACGTGCCGCACCTCTTGGATGAGCAGTCTGAAAGAGGAATGAAGGCATTCCCCTCTTTCCCTGGGTACCAAAAAGCCGAGAAATGAATCCGATCGAGCACTCGTGGAAGCATATAGATCGTGAGTGAGGGCGAGTTGCATTATTACTCTGGGGAATTACTGCATTACAACTTGTACACTGGGGACTTTCTCGCCTCCCGTTTGGAATGATAGCATAATGAAATAAGTTCAAAACAATTTTTCAAAAGTGTTTTTCCTTTCTTCAACTCCCCGCACCTCTCTCCAAGGGACTCATTAACGTAATGCCTAGGCTTAACCCACCGACTGTCTGCAGGCCATGCCTAAGCCTACCTTTTTTGTTCAAATGTAAGTCAGCCCTCAGCTTACGGGGCTAATTAGGCCTATACGAGTCGATGGGTCTTCGAGTGATCTCGGAGAGGATGTGCAACATTAGACCGTGCAGGAGGTACTTATTAAGAATCACCTTGTTTACCGGGTCGAACGGATGAACTTGCCCGCATGTCTTGAAGTAAGGGTTATAAAAGACTGCGCGAGCGAGAAGGTGCTTAGCAGAGAGAGAGAGAGCAGAGCAAGATAGTCAGATCAAGAGTAATGTAGAGTGAGTGTGTGTGTGTGTGTAGGGCTGTGTGTCAAGGTAGTAGTCGAAAGCCATGTAGACGGAACACTGTGGTTGTCCCACCTCGAAGGTGGGGCAACAACAGCAACAATAATAACAACCCCCTTGGGAGTAACGTGCTACCTTTCAAGTAACAGTGTTGCTCCCCGTTTCAATTACACAGGTATTGTCTTTCCTATATGTATTGTATAAGAAGCTGACCAATCAGCCTCTATGTATATCCTCACCATCCTTCCAGACCTTTAACTTAGTGGATCTCCCCCAATACTGGTATGTCATATAAATTCATTATACGAGGGATATCCAGAAAAAAAGGTTACAACAGCTGTTAAAAATCGAAAAATGAATATATTTCAACCAAATTTACAGGGTATGTTCCAAAATATGTGTTTATTTCTCAACATAATCGCCGTCAACTTCGATGCACTTCTTCAGCCTGGGCACCAGCTTTTTTATACCCTCGTCGAATACGCTCCGCTCCACCTCCGAAAGCCACTTCTCCACTGTCTCCTTCACCTCCTCAT